GGTTGGTTGCCCAGAAGAAAGAGTTGCTGCTGGATACTCGTTGGCAGTTTAAAATTAAATGGGATAGTTTTTCTAGAATTAATTTTTAATTTAACTAGAATTTGGGTGACTTCAATAATCCACTCTGGCTCCAGCATTTGTGGCTCTAATGTCTCCTCACTCAGAAGAGCCTGGGCTCATTTTCTGGCTTGTTGGCATAACCACATCACTCCTTTCTCTATGGCTCCCCACCTCTGCTGTTATCTCAGACATGTTTATCTCCATCTCAAGGCTCTTCACAGCTCATCCCTACCCTGGCCATCTCCCACGTGCTGTCAAGCCATCAGCACCCACCTCCAATCTGCCAGCATCACTCACCTCCGCTGCCAAAGGCAAACTTTCCAGCCAGCCCCTGCCTGGCTGCATGCAGAAAAGTTCTTCTCCATCACCCAACAACCCTCCTCAGATGTCTACTGGAACTTCACTCCTCCATGGCACACATGGAAAAGCAGGTTGAGCCCTTCACCAGTGATGCTGCTCAATGTGTTCTCCCTGTTGCTCTGTCCCTCCTGCAGGTCTAGACCACCAACCCCTCCACCCTGTGCACAGATCTCCTTCACACAGCCCTGCACAAGGAACCAGAAGAGCACAGTGGACACCATCAGCCATGACCATGGAACATGAAATCACTGGACACACAACCAGCAAAACAAATACCATGCAAAATTCCAACTTCTGGCCCTTTTTTTTTTTCCCCATGTGAATGACAGTTTAATGATGTTTGCTCATCATTACCTTACCAAGAGACTTTCATTAAAAACAAACAAATCCAAGCTCTTGAGCCAGCTGGGCTGCACAGCTGGATTCATGAGCCAGGAACAGCCTCAGCCAAGGCATTGCTTATGGAAGCAGCTTCTTGCTGCTTGTCTCCACTCTGGAAAAAGTAGGTGTGTGCAATGGAAGTATGTAAAAGAAATGAAATTTAGACAGATATCTACATTTTAGCAGTATCAGACCTTTCTACTTTAAATGTCAGTGCCAGCTGGCTGTCTTTTTTCTTGTCTGCACTTCAGGCCCAATCCTCTCCCAGGAAAAGGCTTGGACAGAGGAAGGGAGAGAGGCTTCACCATTACAAATATTTAAACAAATGGTTAATTTTCCCTGAATCAGGGCCATAGACTTTAGGAGAGATTACTTGACCTACAGTCAGCAACTTTCTCCACCAACACTAAAAATACCCTTGAATGAGCCATGGAAATGTGATAGCTTAAACACTTAGCAGCACTTTAGGCTAGACAGTGGTTTATAATTATATGGTTTCCGTTCAGAGACCTGCCAAGAGGCCATTCCCACACAGTCTGTATTTTAGTGAGGACAGGGCTCTGCCAGCACAAAGGTGAGGGGGAGAGGTGGTATCTGCCTTTGCCTATCAGCAAAACCAGCTCAACTCCTGCACCATCTTTCTGTCTTCAGCCTTTCTAAATCTATCAACAGCTCCTCTTAAAGGGTAAAAGAAAATCTGCTGAACACAAAAGAGTAGCAGCCACCACAACAGCTATATCACTTTTCTTAATAGTCATCTTTATGTGCTATCACATTTAGATATCCAGTATATTGCAGTTCTCCACATTGCTAATGTTAAAGCACTGAGAATTTATTTGTGGACTGATCCTGGAAGCAGAGGCACCTGGACAGAGAAGTTTTGGGATCCTGGACACTGCAAGACCTGTTTGAGGATTTTGAATTAAACTATTTGAGGTGAGATAAGTGTCTTTTTCTTCTTCCAAATGAGTGCAAAAATGTTAGAGCACAACCTTGGATGGCAGGAAGTGCAGAGACAAACAGATGTTGAAATGAAGGAAAAGCATACAGAATGAAGGAAAAGTTAGTCTTACTGACAACTTCATACTCTGGAGCACAAGTGTTTCCCATGCTTGATTCTCCAGTGTCCAAAGCCAAGACCTGGCTGGGACCAGGTTTCCACAGGCTTCTCCTGGATAAGCTCAGCTGTGCCAAGATGAGCTCTTGCTCAATAGGTATTTTGGAAGAAAAAAGCATCCCAAAATACTCCCAAATCCAGCAACAGGACAAGAGCAGAGACAAGACCACTGATGGAGGACACAGAGAGTGATCATTATCCTGGTAGGACATAAGGAGCATCTTGGGGCTGATGCACCACAGCAAGACATGGGTCATGGGGCTGTGCAGCTCATCCCTCCATGCTACCCAGGACCCCAAAGAAATTTCTTTCTGCAAGAGCCAACAACCACCTCTGTTGGAAATTGCAGGGCTTTGAGCTGGACTAAATTAATTATGGGTTTCAGAGAGTCACAAATGACCTCTTGCTTGGGTTTGGAGCAGCATCTCCCTCAGCCAAGGCAGCACTGGAGAGACAAGTGCATTTTCATGATTGCACACAGCATCTTCTATTGCTCACATTAACTAATAAAAACCCACTCTGTGTTTCTGCAGATTGAAGTAAGGGTTTGTTTGCAGAACCACAAACTCCTTCATTTCCATGGGCAGAATGTTGCACAACTATTTCCTGTGAAACTCTGCAGTAAAGTCTCTCTCTAAATTACACTCATTAGTTAAATCGGGTTTCATTACCATCCTTTCCCTCAGTGCCCATTACACAAGCTGGATGCTGTATTTCAGGAATCCATTACGTGCTAACAACACTGGTGCCTTGAAGAAAAAAAAAGACTTTAAAAAGACTTTTCAGTGATAAACGATTTCCTCTTTGTTTGAAGGTCCAAGGTGTTATCACAGATTGGGAGGCAGATGAAATCACTGCCTTTGGATACCACAGCTCTCTAGAATGCCCTGTTCATCCAAGGGATTGTTTTTATAAGCACAATTAACAGAAGCAATAAGTTTGTATCCCCATAAACAGATTTTTTACTACTTCAGGCCCTCTTCTGTGCAGTCTGCAGCCTCTAGGAAATACAGGCAGCACAACTCAGAGGGAAAATGTGCTGACACATGGGCTGACAGCTCTTCACCTCATGGTACGGCTCATGTAGCACTTGCCACCATCAAAAAAAGAGAGGAAAGTTAAGATGTTGGTAAAAGACATCTGCATTATTATGCCTCGGGGCTTACTTCCCTTAAATTCATGTTAGAAATTAAACTAGAATCTTGCAAAACCTGGATATTTCCAAAACCTGACATTTAGGTAACCAAACCACCCTCTGTCCTTGGCTGCAATCTACCTGTACCCAGGGATTTCACTCTCTTTGAATCTGAATGTCTTTTAAGCATATTGACATCTATTGGGTTGTACTAAGTGGTGAATAGAAGAAAATGAGAAGGATCCTGTCTGCTGTGTGTAAGTGTTGGGGCTATCCTGGTAAAGCAAACACGAGAGCAGGCTGAGCTTCAGCACACCTGTGTTACCCAAAGCTCAGCATTGAAGAGGAGGGAGGGTGGAGAAAAGGGCATTTCTAGCAAAAGTTGGGAATATTGACATCTATTGGGTTGTACTAAGTGGTGAATAGAAGAAAATGAGAAGGATCCTGTCTGCTGTGTGTAAGTGTTGGGGCTATCCTGGTAAAGCAAACACGAGAGCAGGCTGAGCTTCAGCACACCTGTGTTACCCAAAGCTCAGCATTGAAGAGGAGGGAGGGTGGAGAAAAGGGCATTTCTAGCAAAAGTTGGGAATTCACAGCCCTTACAGCATTGCTTTGGTACTCAGTAAAACAGAAAGGAAACTATTATAGCTATTTGTATCCCTTCCATAACAGGGGAAAACAACCCTCCTATTGCTAAGTGACAGGCTGAGTCAAACACTTCCTCTTTAATGAAAACTTTATTAGATCTCAGCATGGCTGCGATTTTGGTAATTGCTTTTAGAGAGTTTTATGAGTTTTAGAGCTAGAATTTAATGTCATTGTCTTTTGAATTTAATCCTACTCGAATTACATTTAATTTGATTGTGCCATGGTGCTTACTTGCATATAAGTATCTCCCCATTTTGCTACTTCTTCACCCCTTTGCAAGTGAGACACTCCACCTTCCCTGGGGTGATCCCCCCTTCTCTCCTATAAATACCTTCCCTCTCTCAGCATGGAGTTTGACAGGGGATGATGATAGATGGAGTCTGGAATAAAAAATATGAGGGTGTTATCCTCCAGGCTGCTACACTGAAATAGTAATAAAGAAACACTGCAAGAGAGAAAATACAATTAGTAAAATGTAGATGATGGATTGTGGTTTTTGACTGGATTCCACGTTAGAGAATAGGAAAGGACTAGGTGGATGTCTCTCAGCCAAAGTTTTTAGTTACAGTTCAGTACCCCAAGATCTTGGTGGTTCAGGTCTAGGCAGGGACAACCTATGGGCAGTGGCAGAGGAGTGGGTCACTCCATGATGTTCCCTCCACATCTAGTGGTTCTGCATTTTTGCTTTGAAGTCATTGCATTAAGTATCCTCACGCATCACTGGAAAAAGTCTGAACGAAAAGAAAATATCGTTTCGTTCCACTCCTAAAATGAGCTTGCATTAAAAGTTGAACTGCTTTCTAGTCCCCTGAAGCCTGAGCCACAGTTACAGCAAAGTCTAAAGAGACTAAACAACATGGACTGTGAAATCCCCTTTCCAGCTTCTGGTTTTCAATCCACTGTTCTTCTATTTTCTTCTTTTCTAGCCACTGCAGCACAATGGGCAAAAATCTGTGACTCCCAGGGCTGCAGTGGATGTAAAGACCTCAGGTCCTGGGCTGGGATGATGGAAACCTCCATAAAATAGAAATAATCATGAAAAACTGGGGAAGAGCAGGTTTTTTAGCTGGCAAGGCACTTCACCTCTGGCTAACCTGCCTTGCTGTTCTTCAGAGAAGGAGGGAAGCACAGGGGAGGGATGTGATGTGCAAGGACAGCTCAAAGGTGTACATGCCCTTAATGGGGGAGATAACAAACTAGCCAGGACCTATGGAAATGGTAACACCATCCACAACAGTGTCCAGCTTTCAGCACCAGCTAGGAGCAAGTTTCTCCCTCCCCTTTCTCCCTTGTAAACAGGATTCTGCATGAAGATGTTTTACATCAAATGTATAAAGTATGGAGGCCCCATCAAGAAGGGAGAGAAAATCAGTGTCCTGCTGCCCATGCAATGGGTCAGCTGAGGAATTACATCCCATGTCCATATCCAGAACTGTGACTTATCACATCCTAGTCCCAGCCTGTAAGCAGGAGGCTGCACATCAGGGGCAAAACCTCCAGCCCCAACTTGTGTATTCATTAAATTGCTTAGGCATAGGTAGTCACTCCAGTACAGTGGAAGCCACTAAGCCTCAAAGAGTTGTTCTACCTCAAAAATAACCATGAACAAAATACTGGTGATTATCTGAACAACAGCAGACTCAGAGGAAGGTATAACACCTGTTTTAAAGCTATTCCTATATCCTGCACATCACTGCCCTATGGATGAGGGCTGAAGCAGTGGGGCAAAGGAGGGTGGGAGAGGGTGAGTCCTTGGTGCTCAACAGCCCTGCAGTGAGTCCTGCTGCAGTGCTCTCCTCTTGGACTTCTCTGCTCTCTTTGCAGCCAAAAATGAAGATTTCTTCAATAAGCCAGAAATTTCACTTGTGCCTGAACACACAGAAAATCACGTTATTAAAGGGCTGCTTCACTACAAATGGCTTTAAATTTCTTTAGTGCTGCCATAGAATTTGGGCTGGGCTCTGCTTTTTTTAGGGCAGCTGGGGAGAAAAAAACACCCTGTATACAGCTGAAACCCATATCTTCCCTGGGGGCCATCAGCAAAACCATAAAACAACATTGATGAAGTAACTCATTCCTTTTCCCCAGGCTCCTGCCTCAGGATTGCTTTGGCACACCCAAGTTTCTTTTTGTCCAAGTGAGGCATTTCTTTCCATTAGTAAATCAGCTGAAGACTTTCCTGGGACAACAAGCTTTTGTTAACAGGACAGGGCTTCTCAGGCCAAGGCTGCCAGCATGCTACTGGGAGTGTCAAGGGCTAAAGTGCTGGACAAGTGCTGCAGGCTCACAATTCCAGTGCAGCTCCAGCCCTAGAGAAGCAGGGAAGCTGCTTCAGTGTGGACTCTGTATGTCCTGACAGCAGGTTTGTTTCTTCTAAGAAACTACAGAAAGATATTTGCTGTATCTGTGAGAGGTGCATAACCTGCTGTGTCCTATTCACCTTCCCCAGGAACCACTTTCATTTGGCTACAAATCAAAAATCAGCACATCCATATAAATATCAGCCCTACTGCAAGGGCAGATAGTGAGCAGATAGTGAAGGCAAGTTGATACAACCGAGTTTGTTGTGAACAAAAACACTTTTCTTTATACTGAAGGGAGAAATATTTCAGCAAATGTCCCCAGTGTTCTCCACTTCTGACTGATTTTTTCTAATGTTTGTCATGGAATTGGTTGCCTATAGGAAAGAAGGACTCCCACCTAAGTTTCTCTTGGTTAAAATCCCAGGTTCTAACCCAGTTCTCAACTTATATTTGAAAAGGGAAGATCCCAATCAAGCTCCTACATCTCTGTGCAAACCTGCAGAGTGGCTTCACAAACCTCTTCAGGGAGCTGTTATTTATTCAGAGTTTTTCCAGCAGTGCAGGGATGTTGGATGCTCCTGCATAAAACCCTTCCAGTTTTACCTGGGGCTATCACCCAGTAGCAAAGGACAACAAATATACATCACTTTCTATTTCAGGTTACAGAGCAGTTGGGGCAAACAGTGTAAGTAAATCCAGCTTTATCTTTTTGGTGTACTGAAGAAATAACTGGAAGGGAATAGAGGAAGGGAAAGTACAATTTGTAGCTGACTCTGGGAGGGAATAAAGAGCTGGTAAAATATATAGTTCTAGAAATACTTAAGGCAAGGGGAAGAGGTGCTGGGGGAAGTAACAGGGACAATTAGGATTTTGAGGAAAGAGCTAGCAAGCTCAGTCATGCAGAGTTGCTTCATTTCTGCACCAGTTCTGCAGTGATTCCTTTCCTTCTATCCCTTTTATTTTAAAAATTTCTATCACAAGGTTCCAGATTAACTATCTAAAGCTGCAACACAAATGGTGTGAGGAGGTGTCCCTGCCCAGGGCAAGGGGTTGGGATTTGATGATCTGTAAGGTCCATTCCAACCCTTAAATTCTATGATTCTATGAAATCTACACTCTCTGAGCCTTAAAGGACTTTTGGAGAATTCAGCCCAAGCTTTGTCCTCCCAAGCAAAAAGATATTCTGTGTTTCTCAATCCTCCTTATTGAAACCTGCTTATCTCAGGCTTAGCAGGCATGTTTGTTAATAAAGGCAAAATAAATTGAGGATGGAGCCTTCAAACAGAACAGTCCATTAGCACAACTTCAGCTGCTTCTTCAGCTCATACTTGGCAAAGAAAGGCAGGATACTCACATCTCCCAGCCCAATAGCTGTTTAAACCTTTTGGCTGGTCAGCGAGCGCAACCTGCTGATATCCCACCGAAACTACAATCTCAGCCGGGTACACAAGGCTTACTTAATCTTTGGGGCAAAATTCCTCTAATTCCAACGATCAGGAGCCCAAATAAATAGCCAGGACAATTTGTTTGGCATAGAGCTCACTGGATTTTCACCACACAAAAGCTAATGGCACAAGGAAATTCTTCTACAGTCCATTCTTGAAACATATTTAATTTTATAATGATTAGCACAAATAATTTTCTTCAGAGAAACAGCTCTTAGGGATATTTAATAGCCTATTGCCTGCAGCTCAGCTGGGAGGTGAGTCCTTAGCATTGACTTGTTCCCACATGGAACATTCAAGATAAGCCAAGAAGGACCAAGCCAAAGATAAGATATACATAGGAAGAAGATTTACTTTTGTGACCACCTGCTAACAAACCTGGCAAGCCTACACTTATGATATTGCAAAATTACCAAGCAATAAGATGCACAGAATTCTTTTATCCAGTTCACTGGGGAGCAGCTCTGCAGAGGTTGCAAAGAGGAAGGACTTCATGGACCATCAGTTTTTGGACGTTTGTCAAATCCTACCAAGCTGAAATGCACGTAAAGGAAGTGATGGAGAAACCAGTCCTCTCTTGTGGACAAGCAAATTGGGGTGGCAGCATGGCTGGAAAGAAACCACAGGGATTGGTGTGGGGGTGGATTTGCTCTGGCTCAGGGTTTGGCCCTGATGTTTCTGCTCAAAGGCCTCATTACCATTGCCAGGCTTGTTTCACAGTCTTCTGACCTTTTTCCTCAAAAAATCTTAGTCCTTTATTCTACCATTCAACTTTTCTGATAAAGAGATCATGTTAAGGTAATTAATATGTTAAGAGGGACTAGACCAATGTTTGCATGATTTATGGACATGTGCACGGCAGGGACCATCCAAAAGCCCTTGGTAACCAGCAATATACCCTCCTGAAACACAGCCTAATTTATACAGCAAACTTAGGGTATCTTGGAAAGGCTGAATAGTAAAGGAGGAATTTCTCCTGGACAGCATCAGGCTTTGCTCCTTCACTGCCTGTTGGGACTCTCATTGTAAGAAAGACATGGAGCAAGTCCAGATGAGGCCACAAAGGTGCTTAGGGGGCTGGAGCACCTCTGCTATGGAGACAGACTGAGAGAATTGGGGTTGTTCAGCCTAGGGAAGAGAAGGCATCTCCAGGAAGACCTTAGAGCCCCTTCCAGTGCCTAAAAGGGCTACAAGAGAGCGGGACAGGGGCTTTGGACAAGGCTATGGAGTGACAGGACAAGGGGGAATGGATTCAGACTAAAAGAGGGGAGATTTAGATTGGTTATTCTTCCCTGTGAGGGTGGTGAGGCACTGGCACAGGTTGCCCAGGGAAGCTGTAGCTGCCTGGCAGTGTTCAAGGCCAGGCTGGATGGGGCTTGGAGCAACCTAGGCTAGTGGAGGTGTTCCTGCCCATGCTAGGCAGGTTGGAATGAGATGGTCTTTGAATTTCCTTCCAATCCAAACCAGTCTATGATTCTATGGTTCAATAATACCAGTCCAAACACTCCTATTTGCCTGCTGGTCTCTTGCTCAGTCCATGAGAACACCTTGAAGGGTCTTCTTGCACAGCCAGGGAAGTTACTGCTGACAAAATGGAAAAAATGGGCATCTCTCACCATTCATGAAAGAGAAAGGAGTCAGTATTTCCCCACTCAGTCTCACCTGCTCTCGTGTGCTCCTTGCAGCACAGCACTCTGGTTCCTCTCCATCTCTCTCGTGTGCTCCTTGCAGCACAGCACCCTGGCTCCTCTCCATCCCCTGCCCACTCCCTGCTGCAGGGAAGGAAATGGTGCAACTGCAGCTCCCAGGGCTGTGCAACACCAGAGGGTTGTTCCATATCCTTCTGTTACACTGTGCTAAGTGGCCAATTTGTGCCTTTCACAACTGCACCTACCAACGGTTATATGAACATCTTGGTTGCCCAACACAGGAACCTGACCCACTTCAGTTCAAAGCTTCCTCATGCCCAAGGTGAGAGATCTGTCAGCTAGCTCAGGAAAGATGGGGAATGCACTGAGACATCTCAGCTGTATTATCATACACTTGAAAATTGTTTTGTTAGGAGTACTTTACCAGGAGTGCATTAGATATATTACAGTCACAATGACATTTTGATGTGTTTTACAAAGAACAGAGCAAAATACAATACTGTTAAGATCTCTTAGAGAAAAAAAAAACCATAAAAATAGACGTACACAACTACAAGCAATTTGGAGTCATCTCTGCACACAAATGAGATGGGAAAAATGTCAAAGAACAGGTAGCTTAGAGCCAATTTACAAAGTAGTAGATTGCAAAACAGGACTCAAGAAAAAGCTTCTTCAGTGTCTGTGCACCTGTAACACAGTTGTACTTCCCTTCTTGTGCCTACTGCCTTAGCTGGCTTTACACTCAGCCTTTTCTTTGCAAGACTGTGTAGAGTGGATTGAAGTGCTGCAATTCCTTCCTTAGTAAAATCTGGAGCATGTGAGTTCACAAAAGTCTGTAAAAGTCAGTAGCTTTTCAAGGCAGGTCTGCCCAGGCAAAAGTTATCTAATGAGATATTTAAAACTCTACTAGTGCAAACCAGCAGTCAGGAATAAATCAGAAATAAAATCTGGTTGAAAGAGCTCATTATTGCAGAAATCCCACTGGAGACCCCTCAACTGGGAATGGCCAGGCACTACATGAATAATGCCTTAATTTTTAGATGGTTTTGATTGCAGTAGATTCCAGCAGCTAGTATTAAACTAGCCAAGCTCAGGAATACTTTACTACCTCTCTGCTGTGAAGTCTTCATTGAAAATGTCACCCATACCACCTCCCCTTCTGTCTCTCTGTTAAGGAGAACTGAGGGGATTTGCAGAGAGCTTATGCCAAATGAAGGTGAATAAGCAACAAAGGCTGTTTCTGGCAAGGATCACACAAAGCCACATACCCTGTGTTTCAGTTCAGGGGTAAGCAGCATCCCCAAACCCTAAATACCCACTGAGATCTTTTATCAGCACATTGCCTCATTTATAAGCCTAGACTCCATTGTACTGAGCAAATTACAACCAAAAAGCCTAGACTGCAGGGACATAACTTTTATATAAATATCTGTTTGGTGGCTACGAGTGTGGAAACCAGCAGTTCTTCCTGGCAGGATGGGGGAGAAAGCAGCAGGGATGAAACCAGCCAAACCACTTGTCATAATCCCAGGGAGGGCTAAAAAATTGTTTGGGGATTACATATTGGCTGTAAAAAAAAAAAAAAGCTTAGAACCACAAGTGACAAATTTGTCTCTAACTGCTTGTTCCATGGAGGTTTTCAGAAAACACAATGTACAGATGCTCTTTGCAAACTAGAAATGGGGCAGAGACACATCTGTTTCTCCTCTGAAGAAAACCTACAGGACTTCAGAGATTTCTGTAACTTGGAATATCAGATAGTTTATGTGAAAGTGCCATGACTCATTTAAATTTCCTATTAACCAAGACATGTCTGTAAAGAAAATCTAAAGCTTTCCTGTTAGTAGTGCAGAAAAATCAAACTGAAGGATTACAAGAGACACCAAGGAACCTGCTGTATAGAACAGCAGCTGAAACCAAGAAGGGACTAAATGAATTATTTTAAAACCTAGAATTTTTGAACTCCATGTCTGTTATGCCCATAAAACTTGGGTTTGCAACTGTCGTTTCAGAACTTGAAACTGCTTTAATAAGAATTTTATTGTCAAAAACTAGGGGTTTGGTGAAAAGACTTCATGGATTTAAGTAAAATAATTGACAATTTCAGCTGAACGGGGAAAAAAAAACATTTCCATGCAACAGCATCTGTATTTATTAGCCTAAGTGAGTTCTCATGCTGCACCAAACACTACACACTCATGTGTTCTTGTTCACAAAGCTCTGGAGGTCACATCCACCCAGGGAGGAGGCACTGGAATGAGCAGTGAAAGACAAACTGGTTACATCCACTGTGGAGCTTTGCCCACTTTTTCCCTCCAGCTCAATCTTCTGGACCACATTCATGGTTCCTACCCTTTTTGGCCTAAATGTGCCCTTGCTTCAGGAGGAGGAAGAAAGCTGTTAAGAAACAGTTCAACCAGAATTTCCTGAAATGTGGGATTGTTCGTTTCCATCTGTTACTCTTTGCTAAGAGACAATTGTTTTATCTCTTTCCCAACCAGCTCTAACAACTGTTAGAGCCTGTAGACATCCTCAGTGCTGGATATGGCAACACCATCTACCCAGAGCTGTAATACTTTGCTCAAGGCTGATTGGCCAAGACAACATTGACTTGGATTTTCAAAAACACATAAATAGCTCAGGTGGCTACTGTTCAACGTCTTTGGCTGGATCAAAGAACACAGCTGGAACAACCCCAAAATGCCACTTCTCAGTCTGGTTGCACTGGTCAGCTTGGTGTCCACTGGTGAGTTGAGATTGTTATTCTGCAGCTGATCTTGACTGGTTTTAGGCAGACATTAATGAATCGTTGAAATATAAATTATGCTAAGTTTTCTTCAATCTGGTTTTATGGAGAACTATGGTAATGTGCACAGTTATGACTACTATAAAACATGGAATTAGGTGTGCATTTATACATTGAAGTGGTTAGAGGTTACGTGAAGAATCTTAGAACCATAGAATTATTAAGGTTGGAAAAGATCTCATAGATTATCAAGTCTGAATGCCAACCCAGCACCACAAAAAAAGTGAAAATAATTTGATTTATTTCACAAACTATTTACAAAAAATCTTTATCTACAGCCTTGCTTTCTTTGTAGTTTATGTACCTTACAGTAAGACCTCAAGAAAAAAATGGATCAACTCTATTCAGCATGTTCTATAATGTCCTTTTACCTACAGTTTCTGAAATTATAAACTATTGTGAGCTCGTCTCTTCCACTGTCTTATCCACTATTCCACATCCTATCTCACACCTTAACACTCTGTTTCACTGGGCTAAGAACATGGTTGAATTTTCCCCATTTTCTTCTCTTCCACATGAAGTGTTTGCCAAGCAGCTGGACACACACCCACCCCAACAGCAGCACAGACACTGGGCACCCATCTGCAGTGGGAATCCAACCAACCAAATCCGGGGCTGCGACAGATACGGCTGTGGGAATTTCGGTGCTGACAGGTAACACAGTGGGCAGGGGGAGTCTGAGCCATGAGCAATTGTCCCATGTTAACCAATCTATTGACACATACATAAGCATAGAATCATAGAATCAACCTGTTTATAAGAGACCTCCAAGACCATCAAGTCCAACCCTACTGTGGTTAATAGACCATGGCACTAAGTGCCACATCCAGTCTCAGCTTGAAAACCTCCAGGGATGGTGAATCCACCACCTCCTTGGGCAGCACATTCCAATACCTGAGCACTAATGCTAACCCTGACAGACATCTCTCATCATGTATTTATGTTTCCAGGCACAGTGGCAAAGGAAAGCATGCGGGTGTGGATGTCATCTGCTCTGATGGAGCGACCGTGTTCGCTCCTTTCAGTGGGCAACTCTCTGGACCCATTCGTTTCTTCCATAATGGAAATGCCATTGATGATGGGGTCCAAATCAGGGGATCAGGCAAGTAATTAACAGCAGGTCTGCTGTAAGACAGGCACAAGTAATCACTTCATTTACTCGAGTGAAGTTTCTGTGGCTTTTCAATTCAAGGACAGCACTGACTAATCTTACACTCCCTCTAGCAAACTGAAATATTGGAAGAGAGCAGCAGCAGGATGCAGTCCTTTCCTATGCTTTCTTGGAGAGGAGGGAAGAAAGGAGTTGAAAAACAGGTAGCAGGAAAACAACAACCCCAAATCAAAAAATAAAAGGAAACAGTAAAAATAGAGCATTGGAAGTATGCTTAGATTTGCTGAGAGGATGTTTTCCTGTCCTTATTTTCCAACTCCTTTTCCTCTTTTCTATAATAAATTCAGTAATTTTGATTTCACAATTGTTGGTACCTTGACTACATTTCTGCTTCATCCTTACAGTCTCCAGTAAGGCTGGCAGGGAATGTTTCTTGCTTACTCCAAGAGCAGCTGATGTTTCCTGACCTTGCTTCCTCTCCCATCTCTTCCAGGTTACTGTGTGAAACTTGTCTGTATTCACCCCATCCGGTACCACGGCCAAATCCGCAGAGGGCAACAACTTGGGAGAATGCTGCCAATGCAAAAAGTGTTTCCTGGCATTATTTCTCATATCCATGTTGAGAACTGCGACCACTCTGATCCTACTCATCAGCTTACACCTGGTAAAAAAATCACCCCAAACTACTAAAAAAAAACCCAACTCAGAATAAGAGTAGATTTGCACTCTAGGACCTGTGATACTCTCTTTGAAATTTTGTCTTTAAAGTGTTTCTTGTATGAGATAACCCTAATCTAAAAACATTACCATCCATCTAGGTGTACATTCTATTTACATCTCCTAAAAGATGACAAATTTTGTGGAGGAAAATCCCACTATGTGCCTGGGATGTAATCCCAGTATGTTCTTACCTAACTATAAAACACAGTAGTTACAAACATGCAAGGCTTAAAGCAATCTAAAAGTTAGCTTTGCTATGCTGTGTTTCTGTCTTTCAAAGATGTTCCACCGTTGCCACAAGAAGACAGACGTTGGGCCACAGTGTGTGCTGGGAATCCTACCAACGAGATAAGAGGCTGTGATAAATATGGCTGTGGATACTATGGAGCTCCAAGGTATTGTATAATTGGAACACATGAGGTTTTGTTGTTCCTCCACTGAAGTAAGAGTTGAACTCTGTTTAAATCACAGAAGAATTACAGCTTTGAAGGTTTAGAGGTTGAAGGCCATAAGGAAACTTTTCAGCTGCCCCACATTGCTCATAACATCTTTCTGCTTAGAGGTTTTTATGGCTTGGGTTAAGCCATGCCTGAGCTGACCTGGTGTTGGGAACAGTCCTGACTCAAGTTGGACGGTTGGATTTAAATGTCCTTTGCACAAGCAAAATTTCTGTGACTCTAGGGTTCTATCTAAAGACTTGGAAGAAAAGCTTTTTTTTCTCCAACGCTAACAGGTCATCCACCCTACATGGCATTACATCACCTACACCAAAACCCCCTCTGCAGATTCTTCAGCCAGATGCTTCCTAACAACCCATTTCCAGATCTCTCTCTCCGTAACTTCAGGCCTGACAAGAGGTTTCTCTAATTGTCTTTCCTTTTAGACGCAATGGCAAAGGGAAGCACAGGGCAGTGGATGTCATCTGCTCTGATGGAGCGACCGTGTATGCTCCTTTCTCTGGACAGCTCTCTGGGCCCATCAAATTCTTCCACAATGGAAATGCCATTGATGATGGAGTCCAAATCAGGGGATCAGGTAAATAGCCAGTTTTCCATTTAAGGTTTGTCTTGAGGTTATACAGGATGACCTCAAGACATACATACCTTGCAGCTAGCTACCTAAGCAAGGCACATGTTTGCTTCTAGCCACTCACATGCTCCTGCTAGAATGCAAATAACTGAGTTCTGTAGAATGTCTTCAAGCTCTTCCCTTTACTAAAACAGGAATCTCACCTTTTCCGCCCCCTTCCATCTCCCCTCTTCCACCAAGCCAACAACTCCAACCACTACCTATTTTTATGACCACTGCCTTTGCTATTTCAGTATTTCTGCTGTTGTTATCTCAGTGGAAAGGGTAAGACAGACACTGTTAATGTTTCTGAAATAAGAGTTAGTACAGAAGAAGAAATGTTCCATCAATCATCTAATGTTTTCCCTCTTGTTTTCACCAGGATTCTGTGTAAAACTGCTCTGCATCCATCCTGTAAGATACAACGGTGTCATTTCCAAGGGACAAGTCCTTGGGAAAATGTTGCCAATGCAAAGAGTATTTCCTGGGATCACATCTCACATTCATATTGAGAACTGCGATCACTCCGATCCTGCTAGGAATCTCGAAAGAGGGAAAGGGCAAAGACAGTGAAATGGAAACGTAGCAAATTCCAAATAAATTCATCTCAGCATCCAAAAGTTGCTTTTATTTCTCATGCACAACACTTTGTATTGACTCAACACTCTAAGCCTTACACAAGCAGTGTGTCTAGCAGATGGCAAAAGGGACTCGCACAAGGAAAACAGATTTGAGCTTTTGTTGGAAATTGCATTTTCAAGGGAATCGGGAAATGAGCAATGACTAGTGATAAGCTTTCTCAGGCTGAAAAATCAGCTACACTGCAAACTGTCTCACCCCCTCGAGTGGCAGAGAAGGTGCATTGCTATCAGCCTCTCCCTCACCTCCCAGCTGGCCTCCCATACGATCAGAGAGCAAAGAGAATACCCAAAAAAATCAGCCCACTGAAAAATCATACCCTTAGTAAATGCAGACCCATTTAGCTAGCAGCTTGGAGCTGGATCTTTAATGTCTTTTCCAACTTTTGTGACTCTGTGATTTGTGGCTTCACAGAAAAGCTGTTTTAGTGAGAAGGACTGAGAAAAGGACAATATTCAAAGTAGCATATTAAGAGTGTGCCCCTGAACTGTATTTCTGATGCAGATGTGTCTGATAATTCACTAATGCTGTTCTGTTGGCTGGAGAGACACAAAGTACTCCAAGACTTCCCAACAGCAAGATTTGTCCACATTCCATTTTCCAGCTTGCAGGTCAGAAATCTTCAGGTTTCAGGCACAAACATGAAATGACACTTCCTATAATCTAAGATTTAAACATTTCTGCTGCCTCTTCCCAGGTTTGTAACTTCACACAGTTCCTAGCAGGACAGAACCCTAACAGTGCAACAGATGGGTAAGAGTCTAGTGTCAGTGCACAGATTAGATCACTTTATTCCATTTCCATTTAAAGCAAACCACACAGCTTGAACCAAACACTGTTTGGAAATATTTCAGTCATTTGTTTAAAAGAAGATGATAATCCTTTGGATTATGGAAGTGCTTGGCTCACAGGTGCTACTAACCAGTCACTCAGCTGCTTCTCCACTGTGCAACAGGCACTAAGGCATTACAGACTCAGCTTTTGTGCGTTACCTTAACTCCTTCAGCTTGAAACTGGGAACAAGTGTGTCCAAGTAAAAGGTGGTTTAACCCTTTAGCTGTTGCTTTGTGTAAACAGGGAAGAAAATGACATGTTATCAGATGTAAATGCACCAGTCTTGGCTGGGGTAGTTAATTTTCTTCATAGTCGCTAGAATAAAGTTGTGTTTTGGATCTGTGCTGGAAACAGCATAGGTAACACAGGGATGTTTTTGCTATTTAGTGCCTACACAGTCAAGGCCTGCTCTGCTTCTTGTACTGCCCCATCAGAGGGGGCTGAGGCTGCAGAGGAGCTGGGAAGTGACACAGGACAGTGATCCCAGCTGACCCAAGGGACATTCCACACCATATGGCATCATGCTCAGCATATAAAGCTGGAGGAAGGAGGAGGAAGGGAGATCCTTAGGAGTGATGACATTTGTCTTCCCAAGTCACCACACTGTGTGACAGAGCCCTAGAGAGGGCTGAGCACCTGCCTGCCCACGGGAAGTGATGAATGAACTCCTTTTTTTTGGCGTTGCAAGTGGAAGACAGAACAAGTACAGCATGAAAATAATCACAGCAAAATTTATATACAATGCATTTTAAGTTTCCAGTGCACAAAATGTCACCACAAAAATACAAACTCTAATTTACATCGACTCACCATGCCTTTTTCCCCTTTTAAGAAAATAAATATAATAAAATCTTCTTTCTCAAAAAACGTTAATAACAAGAAGTATTAAACAGTCCTGAATTAAGCATTTCAGGATCACCTCCAGCAACCCTTTTCTCTCAATCAAGGCTTACAGCAAAGCTCTGTGAGATACAGGTAAGATTACTACAGGCCATTTTGACCTCTAAAGGGCAAATAATTTATTTTTTAAGCGCTCTAAGTCGTTGACTCCAGATTGAAAGGGATCAAAACAACTGTATTCCAGCTGATCTTTCCTTCTCACTAGCAATATTTATGAAATCCTTCTTATCACCTAATAATGAAAGCATGGAACAGCATTCAGACATCAGTCTTTGATTACAAAGACTTGAACCAAAATCCAAAGCTATTCCTTATATTCTGGCCATTTCCAAAGTGCTTTATTGCTCAAACAATCAACCTAGATCCAAACTTTTACATTCATTAATTTTAACAAAGTCTCTTTCCCATCTTTTCAAGGCATAAGACAAAACCATCATACTGTACACAATGTGGTCTCTACAGTTTCACTAATTAGACAAAATGATTTAAAGTGCAATTTGAAAAGTTTTTTTTGTAAGCATAGGCTTACTAACATTTTAATATACTGCCATGAGTTTAAGCTAGATTGTACTTGATTAACCTGGGCTAGTGCAAGTATTTTAATGTACAAGCTTTTACAATTAAAACATGAAGTGTTTTTTGTTTAAATAGCTACATAAAACATCATGACAAATAATACAGTACTCCAAGTTGTAGCCATCTTTCCATAAAGATGGACTTCCTGAAGGAAAAAAGTTTCTCTGTTCTTCTTCTGACCACATCAGAAAGATGACATGAAAAAAAAAAAAAGCCAAAACCACTTTAAAGTGAATGGAACATTTAAACTGAAGCTCAGAGAAGCCCAAGTTCACTGAAGTTTGAAGTACCTGTAAACCACAGACACTTTCAGAACTGTTAAGTACACTTAAATCTATTTTCTATTCCAACATACAATTAATATTCTAGAATGTTTTGTTTTGCTGTTAAGACTACTAGAGGTTCTCATGGTAGAAAAACTCAAATATGAAACTAAGCTTCCACCTTTCACTTTTAAATCCCTTATTGCATAGAAAGCAACACCCCAATTCTACCATTTTATCCACAAATGGAGAGAGAGTTTACCACATTGGCATCATATCAGGAAACCACATTCTTCCAAGGTGTTTGGAGACTTCCAAAGGAAGCTGATCTAAGGTACAATCACTATCTGGAATCAGTACCTCCTCCATTATGGAAAGCTGGGTCAGCCTGCCCCCACACATCTTTACAAACTCAATAAACCCTCTGCAGGTGACTTCACATTCCCCAAGTCCCATGGCTGTCAAGTTCTTACAGCGTTTAGCAATCTGCATGAGTTCCTCATCCAAAGGCTGAAGTCCATTAGCACACACAACCAGCTCAATCAGCCTGGGGCAATTCATGCCAATACGACCCAACATCGCTTTGCTCACTGCACGACCGAAGTAGAGGTGTGTAACAGGCGTTTCCTCTCCGAAGAAAGCATCAAATTCATCTTCATATAAGAAGAAATACATCACAATGTTGACTTTGGGGGAGTGTTTAACAAGAGCATCCCAACTCTGCTTCTTAATGGTATGAAATTCCACTTGTCCAGGGTTTTCACTCACAACGTCTATGCGAAGGTGCTCGAGATTAACGTGTTTTTCGCTCGAAAGAGCCAGCAGCAGTTCATCACTCAGTACAAAGTAGTTCAAAGCCAGCTCCTTAAGTCCATGACAATGATCAGCAACACAGAGAATGCCTGAGGAACAGAAAAAATTTACTCTGTAAAATGAAAAGCTAATATAAACACAGCTGTTTGTTGTAAAGTTCAAGCAAGTACTAATTCTATTGGCTTGAGCATTCATGATTATATCGAAACCCCATGAAATATCAAAGTTCCAGATAACCACAATCCTTTACAGCAGTTTGGCCATAAACACTTAGCAGTAAAAGAGACAAATCTAACTAGTCACGTTCATTTTACATCTGTATATCTTCCTTTTTGCCCTTCCCTATGCAGAAGTTCAACTTTGAAGCAACAACTGAAATCAGGTCAGATTTGGCAGAAGTTGCCACTGTTCCCTTCCCTAACACCTTCCTTCAACTTTCACCTAAACCATCTATTTAAATTACCCCCAATAACCTAGTTTAACAGGTAAAACAGAGCCTTAACTGCTCTTAATCTGCTGGAATACAAAGTACACAGATAGTTGCCTTTTGTGGAGTCCAGAAAAGAATACAGGAAATACACCAGTTCCAGATTCCCTTTCCCTAGCACAAAGGTTTCAGGAGAAAAGGAAGTGAGAAGGGACCCAAAAGCTCTCTGAACTTTCTGACAAGGCTGCATTTGCCTTTCACCAACGAATGAGCAAGTTTGTAGACCCAGATCTGAACACACGAGGGCACTACAGAAACTGAAAACCCTCAGTCTTACACCTTGCTGAAATTTGGACACGCTCACAGCACCTTGCAAAACAATTCCTGACAACTGCGTTGACCTCCTTTATCTCACCCAAGCAGTAGCTGATTGATGGACTAAGGATTTTGCACGTGTTCCCACAGAAAGTCAGGCAGTTAAGTTTACAAAGCTGCACATATTTGGTTACCCTTCCACAGAACTGCAATGAAAGTCAAGTCCTTGGAACACAAATGAAAGGCACTGATTTTGAAGACTTTTCCTTCTCAAGGCCTATCCTAAGAGGTACTGAAGCAGCTGGAAAGAATGTAGAAAATCCTCAGGATTCCAGAAGATGCAGACAAATGAACAGCATCTCCACCTTCATCAATCCAACTCATTCACCAACAGTGCCATTCTTCTTCTTCCCCTTTCAACTCTCCAAAGCCAACACTAAGTCAATGAAAGGACCCTGAGAGACTCAACCAGAAGTTTTATGAATAACTTGTGCCAAACTAAGTCTTCACTATTGTTTTATGACACTTCACTACTCCATTTTTCACATCTATTCACTACTCACCATCAGATGAAACATGAGGACAGCTGCTCATTTTTAAGAGTTTCAGAGTATCACTGTTGTTAGCAACAAGAACCTTCAAGGAAGGATCATCAAGTGGCGTGTCGTCTACCTTGATTGATGATAATGACTTAGAGTTTACAAAAACTACTGTCAGTGCTGAAGAAAAATGAGCCTGTTTGGAGAAATTGCAGGAGGAAAATAAAATCTTATAAAAAGGTAGGCAGAACTTCAACACCTTAACCTCACATTCTGCACACAAAGAAAATACAAAGTTAAATCACTTCTTAGGCATCCCTTTCATATGTTACAAAGAAAGGCTTATTTTAGCAGGAACACAGGGGATCTTTGTTTAAAAATATGCTGCTGCATGTGACAAAAATTAACTTTACACTCAGTAGTTAACTCATCCACTCTGAATTATCATTTTGCTGCAATAAAACAGGGGTAAGTGGACACAGGGATAAGCTTGAAGTATCTAAAATTTATCTGCAGCAAAAAAGAAATGGCATTTTATTTATTTTCTAGAAAGTTACTCCTCTGTCACTACAAAGCAACTACAGACTGTTCCATAAACATTACCAACAACTGATTAACAACATATTAAGAAAGCTAAAGGGGTTGAAGAGTGAATTGAATCACACAAGGTACAGTTTGTAGAACATTACCTTGGAGACATTCATGAAACTTGGTTTTGCTGTAGAGATCAAACCCAGTGTCTTGATAGAACAGTTCACCAACTGAGAAAGGATGTCACAGGCTGCTTCTGCTGACTCAGTACTACTATCAACCTGTAACAGCAATTCAAAAACAGTGAAGTCATTCTTCAATATTATTTAGAAAACAGCACCATGGATACCCAAGACTGTGAGTTCCACACCTAATCAGCTGTAGTGCTCCAGACTGCAAATACCATAAAGAAAAAGTGCAATATAAATTTGAAATTTCAAGACAAGAAAGAGCTCAGGTAAGTTACTACTAGAAAATTTTCCTGACTGCTGGGTATTTCTAGTATGACCAGGGAGCTTAAACCTAAATCTTCTCTTCAAATAACCTAATGCTATTACAGTACTGTAAGAATACTGGTGCTATGAAACAGTGGTATGTACATATTTGAAAAAAGTGCCAATTCTAACCTCTTAAGAGCCCAAAAATACCATACAAAGCCCAGATATGCTCCAGCAAACTAATCCATTTTACCTGCAGGGACTACACCTCTGCATCTTAAATAATGAACTGATTCTCAATTCATATGCCTAATGATTAGCTTTGGACACATCTCAATTACATCTCACCTTCCTCCTCTGTCTTGCATGGCATTAGCTCTTTCTTTACTTTGCAGCAATTCGAGTGTAGAAAATTGAAAGGAACTGTCAGAACATGTGGAAATAAACTGCTGCTGCAACTGCATCTTTAAACATAAGACTTCCCAGGCCCAACACTTAAGGCAGCTGACACAGAGAAGCTGCATTCACTGCACACAGTGATGTGACACCCCAAGGCTCTGTCCCAACCCTGGCTCACCTTGAAGCTGACATACTGCAGGTGTTCCCCATGCCTCTTGATAATCTGCTGAATGAGGTCTGGGTGTGTAGACTTTAAGTAAGAAGCAGCTGGCTGGCTGAGTTCAAACTCAAATCTCCTCCAGAGATCTGGGATGTGAAAAACTTCGTTCCACCTTCGACACACAGAAGATGCTCTGGCACGATCAAGCAAAGGCAGAAACTGAAAAACATGCAGGATCACATGGTGTGGAAGGTTGCCCCAGTCCATCGAGGTGTGCAGGTCAGACTGACCAAACACTGCACCATAGGAACTAGTTTTTGGTTTTTTGCTTGTCTGTGATGTTTGAGGAGCTTCATTTCCAACCACAGTTTTCTGCCTGGCTCTTTTCATCATGAAAGTTTCAGGGACTGGAACAATCCAATGTATTCAAACTGCAGAGTTTCCTGAAAGGTCTCACGTACAGCAGATCTCTAGAAAAAGACAGAACATTAGGAAGACCAAGCAGTGGAAACACACTAAGTGATAACAAGTTAACAAAATTTAAAACCAGCATGTTGCAATGAAAAGATGTATGTCCATATGTCAATATCCAGTGCACAGGCATTGGCAATGTCTTGGTACCTTTTATTTGGTACAACTTGATTTGAATCTGGAGAACTTGGGTTTGTTAATTTACCAAGTGTAGTTTCATGTGTTAGTATTTCATAGTACATAAAGCATTTTGGAGGGAAAGTATTTGACAGCAATTTAATTTGGCAGTAGAAAATTGTTTCAGTTTATACTTAAACTCAGCAGACAAACTACAGAATCCACTCACAATTTCTAAAAGAAGTTTACAGCTACAGAACCTAATTCATAAAGTCCCTTTATAAACCCAGATAAACCTGGAATAAATGTGTTCACAGGAGTCAGATTAAAGTTTTGTCCACCTTCCCTTTACTATTTTTTTGTAAAGCAAACCATACCAGGCAGAGGAAAAAAACATTTGTACAACTAAGAAAAAAAATTTTCCAAAGCCACTTATCAAAGCAGTTTACAGCTACAGAACCTAATTCATAAAGTCCCTTTATAAACCCAGATAAACCTGGAATAAATGTGTTCACAGGAGTCAGATTAAAGTTTTGTCCACCTTCCCTTTACTATTTTTTTGTAAAGCAAACCATACCAGGCAGAGGAAAAAAACATTTGTACAACTAAGAAAAAAAATTTTCCAAAGCCACTTATCAAAGCAGGGCAAAAGAAGTTCACA